TTGTGGGGTTCCTCTCTCTCTCTGCACACACACACACACACATCCTTGTGGGGTTCCTCTCTCTCTCCACATACACACACACACATATCCTTGTGGGGTTCCTCTCTCTCTCTACACACCCACACACACACACACATTCTTGTGGGGTTCCTCTCTCTCTCTCTACACACCCACACACACACACATCCTTGTGGGGTTCCTCTCTCTCTCTCTATACACACACACACACACACACACACACACACACACACACACACACACACGGTTTCCTGTGCCCTCATGATCCCTACCTGGGCCATACATGGAGCCCAGCCCAGCCTAGAGCAGAAACCCAGTCATCTGAGGGTGGGATGAATTGGTGATGTCTGGATAATCCGCCGCGGGAGTCCAGAAGGTCTCTTCTGGTAGAGAGAGCAACTGGATTCTTTTGAGGCGACTGAAGAAACTTAAAAGCCAACCCCTAAGGGCCAGAGGAGCCCTGGTGGACTCCTGGTTGTGCATTGGGCTGAGACCTGCATGGTCAGCAGTTCAAAACCACCAGCAGCTCCTCGAGAGAAAGACTGGGCTTTCTCCTCCTATAAACAGTGTCTCTGAAACCTGCCGCAGAGGGAGGAAGGGTGTCACTATGAGTCGCCATTGGCTCGATGGCAGGGAGACCCCAAGGGCCATATGCTCTGGGCCTGTCCTCCTGGGCCGACTGAGAGCCCGGCTCCGAGTCAGGGGCCAGCTTCTGCTGCCGGTGTCCTTGCTCACTCCTTCACTGGCTCTGTGAGCTCCCTTGGGGGTCCTGGGGCCAGTCTCTATCTGCGGGGCAGGGCTCTTCCCACACCGCACAGGTGAGCGCCAGGCTGTGAGCAAGGCATGGGGAAGGTTGTGGCAGGGGCTGTCACAGAAGCAAGTCACAGCCAGTTGAGGCTCCTATCATTGTAAAAGCAGGGAGACCCTGAAGTGTCCTTGAGTTAGGGCGGGGTGGAGCACATCTCTGATGGGCAGGCCTACCTGCCAATCAGAGGGAGCTAACTCTTCAAAGCCGGGCCTGGAAGGAGCCGGTGGGTAGGGACCGACAGAGACAAGCAAACACCAGGAGGGAAAGAGAGATGGAGATGGCTCGGAGCGGACCCACCGGCCCGGGAAAAGGAAAGAGGGCCAGAGAGGGCAGCCTTTGAAGGTTCTCTACATGGCCCAGTCCCAACGGGGTGCTGACACCAAGGAGAGAGAACATGTTTTGAAACGGACGGTGGTAGCAATTGCCCAATACAGCTCGATGTGATTGAACGACGGAATGTTACGATAGCTGTAAGAGCTCCCAATAAAATGATCTTTAAAAACAAATAAGTGGCCCAGTCCTGCCTCATAAGGGGCCCAGGGGCTTCCAGGTAACAAGCCCCTTCTCCCCTGTGGACCGCCCCCCCCTAGGGGTCTCCTGTCCTGCAGCACCAGGCAGTGCCTGCAGGGGAGGGTCTGGAGAGGGGGGCTGGCACCTTCCCTGGGTTCGCCCTATGGGACAGAGCACATAGGGCTTCCAAGACTATAAGTCTGTACTGTACGGGACCAGACAGCCTCTGCTTCCTGGGGGGCTGGCAGACACCGCCACTTAACGCACTGCACCAGGAGAGCGCCTTTCTTTGGGTGAAAAAGAGGTAAAACAGGCTGGCAGGAGTGGACACTGCTGCCACCTGCTGGGGCAGCCTGTTATTGTTTCCTTCAGTGGGTTTTTCACTCAGTTTGGGGACCCATGTGACCCTGCATTTTTTTTTAACACAAGGCAGAGAGCAGCCTGGGGGCAGAACACGCACCCCGCTGAGAAGTGTGTTCTGCCCATCTGATCCAGCACCTGTGTCTTGGCTTCCCTTTGCCGTAAGACGGGTCAACTATCCCAGAGGCTGTTGCCATCTTGCGTGAGTCCACCCACTTGGAGAACGCAGCCCAGTAACAAATGCTCAGGAGCCTTGGCGGTGCAGTAGGTTAGGGGTTGAGCTGCCGACCACAAGGTCAGCAGTTCAAACCCACTAGTCGGCAGCTCAACCCCACTAACTGTCCTACGTTCATAAAAGGTTACAGTCGGAGCCGCTGGCAGACCCGCTCTAGCCACAGGCAAGAGTCTTGCACAGCCTTGCAGCCACGCAGAGACCACTGTCATCTTGAACATGCTGGATTGAACTCAGCACTTGGCCAGACGACCCAGGCCCGACCCAAGTGGGTTCTGGGTGCAAGTCTCTCTTACTTGTTCCACGACAGAAATGTCTTCCCTGGCTTTTGGAATGTCAAGGAGGGTCTTTTCTTTCTCATTCAGTGTGGCAGTTACATAATCTGTCCACTTGAGCGAAGGGGTGGAGTCTAGCCTGTCAATCAGGGCGCAGCTCGATGCCCTCATTTGGAGGCGAGATGGAGATAAATGGCTCGCTGGAGACCAGACCCACTCTCCCCGCCTTCCCTTTCCTGACGGTGAGACACTCAGAGAGCTGGAGGAGACACGTGGAGACCCGAGCCAGTGCTGAGATGCTTCCACTGCCACTGGATCCACAAGACCTTCTACCCACTGGCCTGTGATCTTCCTGCATTCGGCCTCATTGCATGTACTGCGTGATTCTAAAGAGGAGTTTATGGACTAATATTGGACACATGGGCTAATATTGAACTTATGGACTTGATCAGGACTGGGCTGAGCTTAATACAATTGCTCTTTGCTATAAAGTTCTCTCTAACACGCATGAGTCTCCCTGGATTTGTTTCC